AAACGTTTTTAGATACCTAATTTTAGTTTGTCCTGGTTTTTATGTTTAAGTTTACTGTGACTGTTTCTCAGTCTTTTGAAAACATACAAAGTGCACATAATAATAAATGATCCAGAGACCTTGGAAAAATCTTTGAATGGTGTTAAAGCTGTACAAAGAAGTAAAGTAACGTGCAGCTAAGTAGTGTAAAATTGCGAGTAATTGAGAAATCTAAAAACAGAACTTGATGCCAGACAATTTTTTCATTTTATGTGACCGATTTAATTGAACTTAGGTGTCTGTACAGAATCTTAAAAACAGTATGGTTGAATTGGCACAGTATAATTAAAGAGGGTATTTGGTGGGACTTAGAAATCTTTCCTTGACTGATTATACAGGTGGAACGGTGTGAGAAAAGGGTAGGTAAAATTGGATCTGCGTAAGAAATACTTGATAAGGAGAAAAAATAATTAACAGTGAATATTTTTGAACATAAAGGCTATGAAGATGTTAATGGTTACTTCTGGAATTAGTCACAAATTAAAAATACATTAATTTTAGTGCTTAAATTCAATTAGAGTATGTTTCTAAAAAGAAGGTAGCTTAAGCTTCAGTAATGAAGACTATAAGACCTTACGTTGAGTAGCATAAAATGAATTTTGGAATACACAGTTGTGACTTAAGCTTCTACTTAAGAAGATGACTTAAGCTTCAATAATGAAGACTAAGTTTAGGGAGATTAAATGAATTTAGAAATACCTAGTTGCTAAGCCTCAGTATGCAGCAGCAGGGATCCCAGAGGTATGATCTTCGGAGACAAAAGCTGGATGATTGGACTTCAAGGGTTTACAAATTATTCACTCGGAAATAACTTTAAAGTTGTCATATGTAGTAACCCGTTCCATTGAAAGACAGGGATGGTTACATCGTTTACAGCAAGAAAATAGATGGCATCATAATTTCAGACTTGCAGAAGACTCAAAAATATAAATAAATAAGATTGATTTCCCTGATGTTAGGTGGAGAAGGAACTTCACTGAAAGCTCACGCTTTCTTGGAAGCCAGTGAATAGTAGGCATATGACAGAGACGTGAGAAAGGTCTTTATCAGTTCAGGACACATTTTTATGTTACAGAACATAAGCATTAGTTGAAAACTGTAGCTTTATCTATTGGAGGTTACCCTGACATATTTGCTTTTATTGGAAGGGAAGAAAAATTTTACTTGTTTCCATTGGTGGGAGAATATCTATTTAATTGGGCAAATCTTAGAAAAGGAAGACAGTTGCAGAAAAACGTTAAATTTGTACTTTTTTTTCCTCTTCCTTCTTGAGTTTTGCTTTAGAAGAAATAACTGGCAGATGGAAGTTGTACAATTATGGCGCAAGATGCCATGAAAAATGATCAGTTAGCACCCATCAGAATTTAAATTTTATTGTGATATAATCACATCAAATGAGAACAATGTGTAATGCAGTTGGAACACACAACACAGACCCACAGAAGGCCAACAAACAAACATTTGCTGTTAAGTGGATTCATCTTTTTAATGCAAGATGAAGAGGACTGCCTTACTTAACTCTACAAAGTCTAACTGATGCCATTCAGATCTTCGTTATACCCATTGTTCCCACTGTGCTGAGAGTTCTTGTCTGTTTGGAAATGTGGGGAAGAAAACACATCCTTCAGCGTTAATGTTCACGTTGGTTCAAATTTCTATCCTTGTTTAGCTGTTGAAACACATTGGTACACATCTGGTTTGTTCAGGGCTTCCAGTTTTGTGTCCTTTGATAGCAGTGTTGTTCTCTCATCCTTAGACTGCTTTGCAAGCCAGAGAAACGTGATGTGGGGATTGGTTGGGATTTGGTTCTAATTCTCACGGTAAACCAAAATGCCAGTAGCTCTACTTGTTGGTTTCTCTGCTGGTGCTTTTTGGTTTGATGTTGACATTTTATTTTGTCTTTCCCATGGAATCCATGGAATGGATTGTTACTGCAGTCTGGTTTCACTGTAGCACTATAGGTTCCTACTACTGCCACTCCTGAGAAGTCATCTCACTTGCATTGTGCGCTGTAGTCACTGCTGCTGCTTGTCCTTTGTGTTTTCCTTTTTGAGATAATGATATGATGAGAGTGGAGTCCAGCGGTAAACTACTTGAATGAGTTTATGGATACCAGTAACCAGACATTCCATGTGGTAAAACTGTTTGCTTTAAGGAAAAACAGTTCTGCTAGAAATACATAGACCTAGTTTTGTGCCTGGTGGGTAGCTTCAAAATGCAGATGTTTATAAAGGCATTTCACTGTTCTTCAACACAAGTAAAAAATATTACAATTCTTGCCGTAAAAAAATAATTTCTAAACAGTGATAGCTAAGAGAATCCTTGAGAGGGCACTGTGGTCATCTTTTTGGATTATAGGAAATAGATTTGCTATTTGTATTATGAGATTAAAATGGGATGTAGTTTAGGAGTGATTGCATCATTTTCTTGTATTTTATAAAAATGCATGAATAGGTCTCAACTGCTTTCTGTATTAGATATAAGTTGAGGTGCAGGCTGAGAACACGAGCCAAAGAAACATCCACCAAGAAATATTATAGCTGTGCAGTAAGTAAAAAATATATCTGTAAGATCTGAGAAAGGACTTCAATCTTCTCTTGATGTCCTGGTTTCATGCTACCCTTTTATAAACTAGGTTACAGAATCTATTTTAATGATCCACAAAAGCATTAAGAACATATACTCAACTTAATGTTCAAGACAGTTGTGGAGATGAGAAGCTTCGCTAAGATGATCGTTGTCTTGGCAGTAATACTTAGGACATGCATATTCCTGTTTGCTGTTGACAGATGGATTTTGATATCAGTGGCAGCTGTGCATGAAGATCTGAGGGGGGGATAGAAAGAGGCTTGTCCTTATGGAAAAGTTCTGCTCAGATACGATTCTACCAGTCAGGGTTTGTCATGTAGGACCTCTAGCTAAAAAGATCCTTACTTGTTCTTTTTACATTGTTGTTGTGTGTGATTCTGTAGGACAAAGGTGACATTTATGAAGCTACTCTTAAAACAAAACACCTTTTCTGCTTGGAAGTTTTCCTCAGTTGTTTTCTGAAAACGCTCTGCCTTCCATCAGTTCCAAAATTAATTCTGATATCCATGTGTAAAACGGAGATTTTTCTTTTTTTAAGGAAAAAAAAAAAAGCTGGATTTCCTCACTAAGAGGGAAAAATTGAAGGAAGAAGTATTGCATTTCACTCAAGGGCAATTTCTCCTTCCTATTGTTATTTCTATTTTTATGTAGATTATTAATTTTGAAGGATCAGACGATTAATATGGATAAGTCATGATATCCTTTTAGTGCAAGCAGAAGATTTTCAGATGTTTGTTTGTTTTGCAGTTTACATAATATAAAATGAGTCACTTTTTGTTTAATAGATATTTAAGTCTATGAAATGAAACCCTGCTGAAGTCATTCTGACAGGATTGACAGATACGGGAATAGGGCTCAGCTGCTACAGGCCTCTAAGCTTGACAGTTTTAAAATAAATAATCACGTACTGTGTGGAGGGATAGTGCACGTCAATTTCAGGTTGGTTGTCAGAATTAAGACTGTTCTATCACTGGCTGCTGCAGGAAAAGATTATGTTATATGTTAGGCTTCAAACTTTGACCTTATTTCTGTGTTGTATATCACACGGGCTGACAAACACGTACAATATTTCGGTTGGATACAGATATATTGTGTGGGTTTTCATAGCGCACTGTTAACACTGTTAACGCTTTTGTTCAGGAAGTTTTACATTCACAATTAAAAAGCACTCAGCTACAGTTTTCAGATACGTATTTGCACACATCAGGGCTTTACTGTATTTGGTTTAGATTATTTTCTGGAATCCAGAACTTGCTAGTCAAAAACCAAAGTGATCTTGTTCAGCTTAGAAGTGTTTGTGACTTAGGAATTATTTGTATTATAATGTTCTATCTGCAAGTTCATGTTAGGGCTCTATAAATTGCCTTTTCACTCTGGTTTTTATTTTGTTAGCAATCCATCTAATTTTGGAAATGCTTTGTCAGTATTTGCAATTTCTTGTTAGTGATCATATTTCACAAGTATTTCTTTACCGAGCAGGTAAAGATCTGGTGACATCAGCTTGTGGAGTATATATTTTCCAATTATCATCTTTGTGCTCTGCCTGTGACTAGAAAGAAAAGAAAAGAAAATGAGACACTTATTTTTAATGTCCTGTATATAACAACCTATACATAGCTACAATTATACAAAATATGAAAGGATGATGGAAATATCACTTTTAGTCGTGCTTGTTCTCTAGGTTCCATTCAGTGATCTTACTGTGAATAGAAAATATCATTATGAAATGGAAGACTGTTTTAGTCCATCGTTATAGTATTCATACAAATTTTTGAATACTAATGACTGCAGAGTCCTTTTTTAAGCTTTGAAATTCTGATTATTATTTCTTTTCTATTTGTTCAAGTGATAGCCTTTGCATTTGTGCACATCTGTCTTGTTTTGAAGATGCTGAACTCTGCAAACATGTAGGAGATGTATAACCCTCACTTATCCTTTATTGGTTTTTGTTTTTTTTTCTTTGAATTCAAAGATTCAAACCACTAGGTAGTAGACAATGATAGCAAAGGAATTAGTTCCAGAACATTACCTGATAATCTTTGGCACTGTTAAGTTTTTCAGCTTTCCCATCTGTAGGTGTAATGATAAATGTAAAATTCTCGTGTAACATTTTGCACTGTGGGCTAGGGTCTCAGTGATGGACAAAATCAACCTAAACAAATGTAAATGTGTTTTGGTTTTCCTTCTCATTAGTGAACAGTGAGAACCTTTTAGCTGCATTGTCACTTGAATACTTAGTTTCTTTAGCTTGGGACACATCTACCTGCTAGATTCTCCTTTTTGAAGTCAGAAAGTGTAATGGTAAGCACTGTTTCTTAAAAAAATCTAACTGCTTTATTTCTTATTTTCCTTCCTGCTTCCCTGCTGTACAGTGGAGCTGATTACTATGACTACGGCCATGGGCTGAGTGAAGAAACATATGAATCATATGGTGAGTAGCTTTGAGCTGAGTGACTACAGTAGTAAAGATGTCTGAAAAAATAATATAATCAAAGATGCAGAATTTCCGTAAGGCAGACTTCAGTTCTGCAGTGGCTAACAAGTGGCTAACAGCTGCTAGGAATTCCTGTACTGTCCACATGTGGACATGTGAACACTGCAGGAGGCTTCTGTGGTCTATTAGCTAGTGTACTCATGTGAATCTGAAATCAAAGAAACAAACTAAAAGAGAACAGTCTAAATTGTGCTGCAAATATATTTGCAAATGCAAATATATAATCATTTTCATGTCTCATTCAGTGAGATTTAAACTAAAAAAAAGGCCTTGTTTGTCCTTCGTTCAACAGATATTTGCTGCTGAAAGTAAATGATTCTAGTACGGCATATCTGATGGTGAACTCAGTACCAGCAAAGAATATGCTGAACTTCTCTGACACAGAGCCGAACCAAATGCATTTAAAACTTCTATGCTCTTTTTGCATTATTTCATTGTCGTGCATCAGTCCTGTGAAATCAAGCAGAGTCATTAGGTAAAGGTTGTGGAAGTACTTTAGGTGGCTAATAGACATGAGGGCAGGGAGTTACTCATCCAGAGACAAAACAATGTGTAATGAAGCAAAAACCATATGCCAGTAGTAAAGATCACATTTTTTGAGGTAGAAGTGTGGTAGTGACAGGTTTAATTAAAGGAATCTGTTATGGATTAGAGGCATAAAGCATGTTAAAAGGCACCTTTGCTTAAGGGATAAATATTAAATCTCTGGCTAGAGATCAGAGAAATTAAAATCTAGATCATTCAAATATCATACATTTGAGGATTGCTAGTGCATAGTATGAGAGTTGTGATTCTGAGTCGTGCATGTCACAGGATTTTAGAACTTAAAAGAATTTCGTGAGTATTTCTTTAATTATATTTTAAAACATTTCCTGTGGAAGCATAAATTACCTCAACCAAGATCCTTGTCTTGATAAAGCTGGTCTAAAGAGAGATGTCCCTGCCTATAGCAGGGGGATTGGAACTAGCTGATCAAAAAGATCCCTTGCAATCCAAACCATTCTACGATTCTATAAATATACCTAATGATAGTTTCTACAATATCACCTGATTAATCTAGTTCTTTTTGCTTAAGAGAAAAATCAGTTCATCAAAAGAGGTACCAATTTGAAATTTCTTTATCCCACATCACTTTCATTTGGTATTGATAGACAGATGTATGTAAGTGAAATCTTTATTTTTTCATTAAAGTAAATTCTTTGCCTAATGGCTAAAGTAAATTTTATTTCTTCTAGTCTTACAGTGAAATTTGAACTTGCATCTTTTACTTATTAGTCCAAATGTTCACACCTCAGTGTGATATGTAGCCTAGGCACTGCAGGTAACCTCCCCTTTTTTTGTTTTTCAATAAAACAGCTGGAATTAGACTATTATGAAGAGATGATGAAATTGTACTCTTGAAATTATTGATTTCTTAATTGTGTCAGCTGACGGCAGATATCTGCCATCAGAGGAAGTTGTTTTATCATTCAAAGAAGTACAGTGGGTTCTTTGTTGACTGTAATATTTTTGTTCTATTGACTTGAACATTTCAGATTACTGTATCTAGCCATTTAGATTTCACATTTAGTTTCTGGATAGCACTGGATTCAAGTGTACACCTTTATGCTTAGTGCAGAGCAGTTCTCAGAATACAGGTCTAGAAGGTGTATGGTTGCTTTTGGGATTTCTTTTTTTTCGGGGATTATGTGGTACTCTGACTTGTGCTTACATTTTAGAGCATACCTAAGTCATGTTTTGTTAAACTCTGCACTTGGTCCTGAATCTTCCTCTTGTTATGAATGCCTGACATTGCCTTCTGATTTTCATTTAATAAGATGTGTTGCTATTTTTTCTTAATATCTATGACCATGAAAATGGCATATGAAAATATGAAGCATTAACTATAGCACACATTTTTGACAAAGTTATTTTGCTGTCAGAATTCCAACATGTGATGTATCTTGCTCCTTAATTTTATAACCTACCATCATACTCCTTGCCAGTTAAAGGAAGTGAGTGTTCAATGAAGTCAGTTGTCTCAAAATTTTTAAAAGCCACAAGTGTTTGCAGTGAAGTTGTGGCTTTTCACTATTAGATTGCATATATGAATTAAGCCTAAATTCGTATTGATCAAAATAAATTTATTTCTGAGTTACTTACATGTAACTCATATTCTTCAGTTATTTCCTTCTAGTGTAATCATTAGTCTGTTAACGTACCTGGCATTTTTTACCTTTGCACTATGGAGGCTTAGCTGAATGCCAGAATCTTGGATCTTTTCACCTTAAGTTTTGTCACACTGTGTGCTGTTGTTAGCTGAAAGACTAAGCTAGCTCATTCAGATCTGTTCCATCCACTTTTTTTTTTGACCAGGTGTTAAACTTCCATTTGTATACCTTGGTTTCAGTAAATAGCATTTCTGTTGAATTCGCAATTAAGAAAAAAGTGCAGCATTGGAAAATACTGGAAGAGGTCTAACTGTGTTTTCTCCTCTTGTAGGACAAGAAGAATGGACCAACTCGAGACACAAGGCACCTTCGGCAAGGACGACAAAAGGAGTCTACAGAGACCAGCCATATGCCAGATACTGATTGTACTGTCTGATGTTGTGAAATATCCAATCTCCACCAGTCCTGTATACTGTTCAAAGTAATTTTTTCTATGAACAATCCCTTTTTATTAAATCAAAGCGCTTAAAAATCTGAATGGATGGACTGAGCTTAAAATATTTTGTTGAAAGAACAACCTGGACAGAAAGATATGTAAAACAAGGAACTTTGTTATTTCCAAACTGTATTTGAAAAATAGGTGATCAAAAAAATAACCTTTGATTAACTAGTGTTAAACTAGGTTTACTAAATATGTTAGTCTGTTCTTTTAACATAAGCGTAACCTTTTATTTTAAAGGTTTTCAACAACTTAGTTTTTAGTTTTTATTTTCGGCCATTTGCTAGTTTTTTTCTCTTTGCAAACATGCGTAAAAAGGGAAGCAAATTACAAATGCAAATAATGTGGTATTTTGTAACTCAAGTCTTGAAATGTTCTGTAGTGTTAAGCAAAGTTTTACCCTTGCTTGATACTAAATAAACTTTTGAAAGAAAATCAGTGTGTGTGAGATTAATTTTATGCTCTATCTTATAATAAAACTTCATAAATAGTAGTAAACAGGGAGAAATCCATTTAACAGCAATCAGCATAAAAGGCTTATATTAAACATGGCACAACTTTTTTTTTAAAACAAGGTATAAACCTAAATGTACCTTCATATACTCACAGTAGATATAAATGCTGTTTAAAGTATCCAAATGGTATGGATCTGCTTGAGTGCCACATTAGATCAAAATATTTTTGTAAAAAATGGGTTAAAATAGCTAATGAATTTTCTGAAAACGATGTGACTAGTTTTCACCTTGTTGAGCGTTTTTTCACTAGTGCAACTTTGGAATTTTTATGAGAATTTTGGTACGTTAATGACCACCTCGCTCCGTGCTGGAAGCAATAAACACAAAGCTTTTAAAGACTTTCTGACTTGACTAATTGAGGTCGCTTTCGTCAGAGGCAGAGGATGTGTAACCCTTAAAACGGTCTTCATTTGCAAAGGTAAATAAATCCAATAAGATTTTAATCTCACTAATTTATTTTAGTTTAACCAATAAAAACAGGGAGACTACAACTTAGAAGGTTTCATTTTAGAATGTAGGAAAGGTTTCAAGAACACCTAAATTCTCATTTTAAAACGTTTAATTTGTGTTAGTAATCTAAAATCCTTAGCTTAGATAGTTAAATGTGGACAAACTATTCCCTATTAAACAACTGTAAAACCTCATAACCAGTAGTTTGTAATATATTATTTTTCCATAAATTCTAGTAACTTAAACATTGCAAATGTTATCTGAAGCTTTGTTAATCATTAAGTTTCTATTATAGTTCAATTTATATTGTTTATTTTTTACTTGAAAATATTTCAGATTTAGTAAAATGTTTTTTTTTCTCTTGTCAGGAAACTCAACTCCTTGGACAGCCAAGACAAAAACAAAAACCTTAATCTTCTGATGCTTTGGTAGGTACCTTCGCTCATCTCTGAAGTTATTAGATAAATAATGGAGCTTCTGATCGGGTCCTTAATTTTTTATACGTAATTAATTACATAATTGTTAAAGGTACTGAAATAGAATACAATCAAAATCACTGGCCATTTTCAATTCCTCTGGGAAAAGGCATGATTTTAAATTGTCATTAAACAGGATCTTAAACTGTACTGGTGTGCAGACAGACACTGTCCTCTGGCTGTTTGCTTATTGTGTAAATGTATCTGAGACTGGGAAATGAAAGGTATATTTACCTTTGATAGCGTTTCAGCTAATTAAGAACTTCATCAAAGGAGAAAGTGAGTGAAAGTGAATGTAATTTTATGCTACTGACGTTCAAATGGGAACTTAAAATCCTGATCTGGTCAGCAGGCTTGTCTAAAGTGGTTTTATAAAGCTGAATAAAGCATTTTGTAAAAAGATTTAAAGGTGAGCATTTCTGCACAAGAAGCAAAGTGAATTTTGGCACAAATGGAGAGCAAGTCACTGAGAAACATTAGCTACAGAATAGCTAGCTGTGCTGTTTCTGATAAATCCAGTACATAAAGTAAGAAATAATTGAACTATTCTGCACAGATATTCTCTTTGCTTCCTAGTTGGACCAGTTATTCTTACTGCTAACCCCACGCACTCATTGCCTGTAGAGGACATGACTTACAGCTCCATACTTAAAATATTTTATACATTGTATTGCATAGTATATTTAGGAGGCAACTGTCACAAGCTAAAGGATTTTTTTGTACATACAAATATGCTTTTAGAACAATTTTGAGATTACTGCGAAGATTTGAAGTAGAGGACCTTATAAAGGTTAGGAAAGCTTGGAGAAGATTTCTGCTGAATGGGTTCGAAGAGCAAAGATTCTATAACTGAGAGAAAAAGTAGCTGCTAGAAGCAGCAAAGCGGAACATCTTTTTAAAAAACACAGAGTAAAATTGTTTAAATCTCTATTGACACTTTCAACACCATATAATCATTAAATTGTTTGAGTTTGAAGGGACCCTTGAAGGTTATCTAGTCCAATTCCCCTGTAGTGAACAGGGATACCTACAGCTAGATAAGGTTGCTTGTAGCCCTGTCCAGCTTGACCTTGAGTGGAGCATCCACCACATTTCTGGGCAATCTGTTACAGTGCTTCACTACCCTTATTGTAAAAGACCTTCTTCCTTACATCCAATCTAAATCTCCCCTCTTTTAGTTTGAAACCATTTATCTTTATTGTATTACAGCAGATCCTGCTAAAGATCTGTCCCCTTCATTCTTAGCCCCTCTTTATCTGCTGAAAGATAATGATGTTTCATGTAAATCATTAAGTATTCATTTGCATATACGATGAAACTGTATGGCTTAAAGCTAAAATGGCTAGTGGTTGGGCTTGGTGAGTAGGTGAACCAGTGAATCAGAAGTGAATTCAACCTTCTGGAATGCTTATGCAAGTTGCATTTTTTGATGTTATCCTTTGTTAGTATGAAGGATGAACGTGTTCAGTTTCTCTGCTATACAGTCCTCAAGTTCTGTAAACCTTAATTTTCTTCGTTCTGTTTGGAGGGAAAAATAAAAATAATAATCAGGTGTCCCTGTGAAAACACTCAGAGGACATTTGCAGCCACCACTGTGTAATGTGATGGCACATGATTGGATATTGCCAGTCGCATCTGTAAACTAATCTCATGAGGAAAGGCACACACTCATTCTGTAGTCAGAAATATCAGCCTTGGTCTTGTGCCATATCTGCATCTGACAGGAGATGTAATAATCCTCAGCCATGTGGTGCTCCCATTTGGTATACATGTCCCACCTTGACAGGAAAGCTGACCATTTCAGTCCTTTTTTATTTGCTCTACTGATGAGAAGACAATTTCAAAAATTCTTTTAAGAAAAAAAGTATACATATGTAGGGCAGAATGGTAGTTAGAATGGTAAATACAGTAAGTCTTCCTTCTTTCATGCTTCACTTTGATAGATTTTATTTCTCCTATGAAAATTTGTTTACATCACTTAAAACTAAAATTCTGCATATTTGTAGAAACTGCAAACTTGTGGTATGAAATTTTTCTTGACACTTTGTGAGATAACATGCACTAGTATTATATTGAGCTGTTGCATTTTTTTTATTTTTTTGGACTAATTTTGGGCTAATCCATGAAATGTAATCTGTTAAGTTTTGAACAAATAGAAATGTAATCTAAAAAGGGGCCTAAGACAAAGTGAAGGGGAGAAAAGGCAGCCTTTCTTTTATTAAGGCAAAACTAAATGAACGAATAAATGTTGCTTGATTCATTCTAGTAGGATTTTATGTTCTTGCACAGGTCAGTTGCTTTGTTATTGGTCAAATAATACGATTATAGTGACACAATTATTTGCCTTTATTGAACCTATTATCACACTTGCACTGAATTCAGTGACAGCAGTCTTTGCAGTGGTTTCCCTAAGTCTGTGTATATTTATTGTACACATTATTGCCTGATCCTCCTGCTTGTAATCTGACAGTCTTCAGAAAACTAGTAGTTACTACTCTCAGGCTGTGTACAAATAAATTCTGTTTTTCTCTTTTTCAGGAACTTCTGCCATGTTAACTACTGACTGCTTAGAACATTGTACTTGTCCATGTGCCTAGGCAACAATGAGACAGGCTTCGGAGTATGAAAACTCTGTTTCTGTATTTCTTGTATTAAAGCCTTAAAGTGTATAATGTTATATACTTTTTAAAATAATTGTATATATGAACCCTTATTTGTTTAGTGACTCAAAATGTTCTACTTGGAGCTCAATAAAGAATTTTCATTTAAGTTCCTGTTACAAAGCAATAATGCAACTTCACATTCCTTTAGTGACTCTTAGCCTTACGCAGCAACTTGAAGCGCGTGTGAATTCTCATGACTAGACTTTAAATATGCTTTTGGAAATAGATTGCCTGATATATGAACAACATGGATAAATTAAATGGAGGATCAGTGTTTGTTCTGGAACTTTATGTATTAGCTAAACACAAAACACCAAACAAAACTCATAAGTAGTAGTGATAATCCAGTTTCCTTCAGAAACTTGTATAACATGGTATTTTAATTCCTGTCAGTTGTATTATGCTGCTTATTCTCTTTCACTTGGTGTTTGCATAGAATTGTTTTCTCTGGTATGCAATCACTGGTTTTCTAGTAGTAGTCCTGAATGAGGCTTTTACACTTTGATTAATCTTGTATCTTACAGTTCTGTTTACTCAATGCTTTCTGCTCTATTTCAGTTGTGGTTGTGATAATTTGTAACAAATAAAATCCTGATAATTCAAGTCCTTGTGCTTTGCAAGTAATATTTAGGGGAAAAAAACGAGTGTCCCATTCTTGTTATACGTCCATCAGATGTATTTTTCTTGCATTCACTGAGTCTCATTACACCAAAAACTACATCTTAGGCCTAATTTACTTTGAATGAACAATGTTAGGTAAAATCTTTACACCAAGTGGCTTGTCTGCAGCATGTATTATTTTCTGATACTGACTATTGATGAATGCATTGGAAATTTGTTGGGGATCCAGGGAATATTAAGATTTCATGTTAACATTTACACTGATGCAAATGTCTTGAGTAATAAATGGGGGGGGGGGGAGGGCAGAGGGAACACCTCTGATTACTCTGAGTATAGTGAAAAAAAGTCTATTTCCAACGTTTGAATATTTAAGTTGATTTTACCAGTTACTCTCAATGTTGGGAAAGAATTTCCCTGCCATCATCTCTCACTATATTACAACTGCATTTTTGCAGTGTTTTCCAGAGCAAGCAATAAGTAAATAGTAAATAAATAACATACTTTAAAAGCAAACTCCAAAAACATTTGAGTAAGCTCCAGAGATGGATTGTAATGGCTTCTCTTCACACTGACAGACAGGAGCCTCCAGTGTGGAACAGCACCTAACATTTTAAGTGCTGCCAAGGATAAAAATTATCTGTAGATCTTGGAGGAGGGTGGGGAGCTGGAGCTTTGATAAGCAGAATGTAATTTCACTTGCTGCAGTTTGGACTGGACAGTAGGATTACTGGTACGATCTCATTTGAGGAATAATATGAACTATTTAATGAGTAAGGTATTCATTCCAGAGTGAGTTTCCTAACACTGATACTGAAATGTTTTGCCAGTATGACTTATTTTAAAATACGGCACTATCAAACCTATCTAGCATTGCCAGTAATTTTGATATGTATACAAAATGTACAATACGTACAAATATGTAATTACTGAGTAACCTAACATGGAAACTGATAGGGTCAAATGAAAGTTGGCTGACTGCAGGCTATCCTGAATTAAAAGCAATTTGCTTGATTCTACTAAAAACTTGTGCTGTGAGTCTTGATCTTCATTACTGTTGGGTTTTATTCTTAGTAAGTGCAATCAGGAGGTTTTTGTGATCTCTTTTGAGTGAAATCTTGGTCATGTTGCAAGAGAGGAGTGTTTTGTCATTCACCTCAAGACCCTATATGGGTGTTGGAAGGAAGGGTCTATCCTACCTATGCAGTCATTGATGAATCCCACCTTTACTGTGATACAGCAGCCCCTACGGTTCTTTTTTATGAGGTCATAACATTGCATTACCTAAAGGTTTGGAGCAAGGACATAAGCCTCCAGCTTCAGTCTGCATCCTGGTCTTTCCAGTGGTGTATTTCCGTGTCTAATGATACTGGTCTTACCACATTTAGGTACATACATTTTGGAAACAACCTGTAACTGGATGAGTTGGATCAAACCTTGGTTACCCATCTTCCTAAAAAACATTGCTGAGTGTGCTTTTCAAGGTGGAACTCCTCATCCTTCTGAGTAAGAGAATGGAAACTTTACAGATGAAAATAAATAGTTATAAAAGTTAAAAGTGTATTTAATATGCCGATAAATGGTACCTTGGGTGGTAAAATTGCCAAGTAACTGATGTCCAACAACCTTACTGCTGTCAGAGCTGAGCAAATGCACAATAAAAATAAAGAGCATCTTTGACTTCAGGTTTATGAAGAAGATTAATTGGTTGAAGGCACTGAGAATTACTTTTCACTAGCTCAGCAATTTTTTTTCCAAGACAGCTGTATTTTACTTAGTGGGGAAAAAAAGCCCCTATGGTAAAGGAAATTATTGAAGGTAGTTAGTGTTAAAGCACGTATTGCTAAGATGATAAATGTTTGTGCAGCCTTGAATGAGTTTGCAGTGCATTGGTGCTTGTCTTCAGGCAGTCTGTCTCTACGACTGGAAGCTGAGAGTGCGTCTCTGTTGGCTTGCATCTTTAAAATGTTCAGAAACTTTAGCCAAGGGCAGAAATAAAGCTGCTTTGCTGTATAGTTCTTTTTTAGTCTCCTTATTGGAAAGTATTAAGAGAGTATGAAATGGTGACATTACTAAGAATAGCAAATGAGGGAAGAGACTTTCTGGAAATTTCCAGCTTTCATCATACTTGTAATTTATGAAATAAAAATAATTCAGATTTAATTAGGGTATGGGATAAAATTTCTCAGAAATGTTTATATCCAGATATCAAAATAACTCATGCTATTTCAAGATAGAAAGCTACTGTGCTGTTCCTGACTAAAAGTGGTTCTGCTCCTACCGCCTCGAGAGAAATCCCATGTGAATCAGTCCATGGAGTCAGGTTCTGCTTTTTCAAAACTGAAGTTATCCACAGTTCATCATGCCTGGAAGAATTTGGTGTAACTTAAGTGACCTTATCTTTATATAACATAAAATCAAGAGAGAAGGATTTCATCTGAAGTGAAATGCTGTCCCCTCCCTTTGTGGAGTCAAAGAGAAGGTTGTTTTACTGACCTTAGAGTGGTTTTCCCTTCCAACAGAAAACATTCTGAACTGCTCCAAATGTTGACTCGGGCAAACAAACTCAGTTGTTCATGGCTTCCTATGGCAAAGGATTAAAGTGGTAACTTGTGCTAATGCTGTTGATCTGCCTGTGAAAGATCTGACCCCTTTTCCCACACCAAGCATCTTCATTTGATACTGTCTCGTTTCTGAGTCGTTCCCTTTTTACTTCTTCATAATTTGGAAGTGGCTATTTCCTGTGTACCTCTCAATGAGAAAAATGATGCAGACTCCATGTGCACAGAAGTCACTGCTGTCACTGAGGAAGTATCTGAAAGAAGCATGTGTTCTGAAACTAATTCTCCTGGTAATTCAGTTACCAGCTCATAAATCCATACATGCAGTTTTTCGCCTCCAGTGTCAAGAGACTGCTACAGAATTGCTCTGCTAAATGTATTTTTCATGGACTTTGGGCTTCTACTAGATGATTTTGCAATGTCTATATTGCAATACAAATATTTAGTGTTTAAAAAACTCATTAGACCCTTCAGCATAGTTGATCACAGGCTTGAAAGCCAATGAGAGGACCAAGTATACGTTAACTATGGTGAATTCTGTCTACGTGTATTGTGGAGGTTGTTTGGATTTATTGACTGGCATTTTTCAAATGCAAAAATTAACCATGTTCAGTTTATAATTTCCTTTTTTACTGAACTTAAGCTTCTTAACTTATGATGATTTGAACAGAAGCTTTAATTAGACATTTAAAATATACCAGGGATGACACTCTCAGTTATGCAGCATATTAACAAGTATGTAGTTCTTCATGATTCACTTATTCTATCATTGTTCTATCAGCAGTTGAGACCCCCTAAGATTATTATACTTCAGTAGAAGTTGAGAAAGCAGAGAGGATCCTCTGGCAGTTCTTCCTCTTGAAAGAACTGTAACGTGTAAGGAATTGCAGAAGAGTTTCTTGATACATTTTGTGGTGGTGATCATCAATTGCATTTGCTTTTTTATTATATTTGTTACAGACAGGAGAAAATGGAAGTTAGAATAAGCATATTAATTAATGGGAAACTCTGAATGTGGAAAAGCAGGTAGTGAAAAAAGCAATCTAAATACTAAAAGCCATTTGTATTTCCAACTCTGGAATGGAAGAAGAAAGCCTCTACGCTCCAGTGCACAGCTTTTCTGAGCCAGACTGGGAGGCCATGTAATGGCTGCTAATCTTCAAAACAGCGTATTTTTTGCACACAGTATTCCCTACATGATTCCACGGGGCTTACTCTTGAATTAGATATATCTGATGTTAAGAAGTTGAAGTGATCTGTCCTAGGTCAGAGGGGTCTTCTGTAAGAGGAAAACGTTGGTCCTATGCAGGATCTCTGATAACTGTGCTATCTGTACTAACTAGTCTGGCATTGGCATCCCTCATACAGCAGTAGTAACCTCATTAACATTTGGTGGTAGCCTTCAAAGTTATAAGCAGATAATGTTTGTAATGCTACTATCGGTACCTCATTGAAAGGTCACCATGAACTCCTGAATAGTATTTACATGCATGTGTACATAATTTAAAGTACTTGGTAAATGCTTTTCAGAAAAATAATTCAAAGGACAGAAGAAATCTTACTGTGAGCGACTTGAAAAGCTTGATTGTGGCTTATAATTGCTTGCACAGGGATAGAATAAAAAGTACTAAATGACTCTAATCTAGTAGTGGAAAAAAACTAAGAACTAATGCTGTTGTAAAAGCTCTGTAATCTTAAATGAGAAGTTAGGCTCACAAGAGAGTGGTTAGCCATAGCAGCAAGCTACATAAAGGAGAACAAGCTTCTGAGTGTTTTTCTACATAGGAGAATAGGTTGAACGATTTAATAACTGCATCTGAACTGAAGTTGTGGATCTGTGATGACTGTATAAAAATTCAAACCATCACAAGAAAGCTTTTCTCTTTTTCTGATTTGCAAGCGGAGGGTATAATCTGAAGTTTGAGATGGTAAAAATACATTTTATTAGCAAGAATTCTCTATTTTGGTATTTTAAGAAAACAGTAATTCTACATATCTCTTACTGTTTTTTCAAATAGCAAAAGCCACATTAAGCCAGTATTTACTGGTATTAATGCATGAATACAGCTGCTGTTCCCCATACAAGAAACATTTAGAAATACTGTTAACTATGAATTATGCTTTTAATTTTTTTCTTAAAAGCATTTAGTTATTTTAACAGAAGTCTCTGTATGTTTGGTCAAAGAAAAGAAATTTGGAGGGTTTTTCTGTGACAATTTATGCATCTCAAACTCAGACGGCAAACTCCAGACTGGTTGCCCATTTCCTGTCACAGGCAACCAAGAGAAACTAGCTCAAATGATAACTCATCTTACCTGAGACTGAAGTACATTGGGATCAGGTGTCTCATCCTCCGAAAGCAA